CTTTCTGGATGATCTTGGGCATGTTGCTTCTCTCCCTGTTCCTAGTTTACCTGTCTGTACAGTGGGTGCTTGGTAAAGCACTTTGAAATCTATGGATGAAAAGTGCTAGATTAGAGGTAGGTATTATTACTTATTATTGAGCAGTCTGCATTGTGTTGAGTTTAGTCATAGGATTATGCATTCAAAGGGCTCAGTTCTGTCACCTTTACCTACACTGAGTGGTACCCTATTCTGCAACTAATCTCACAGAAACCGATTTTTTAAAACTGCCCAGAGCCTATTTCTGGTGCCTGGGTTTGGCACTGACTTGCTGCGTGACATTGAGCAAGTCTCTTCATCTCGCTTCAGTTTCCCCATGTCTAAAAGGGAGGTCAAGATATTAGCCCCCTTTTTTTGGGAAGCACTCTGGGACCTTCAGATGAAAAGTAATGGGTAAGTGCTAAGTGTCATCATTGGGGGAGATCTTTATAGTCCCAAAGGAAGTTAGGCACCCAACTACTCATTGACTTTCAATGGAAATTGAGTCTCTACATCCCTTTGTGCCTTTGAAGATCTCCCCCACTATTTTTCAAACTTTAAAACCAGCCCCTGGCTCTAAAATGGGGCCAAACCAAATCCCTCAATCCAACTATCTCTGAACTTTGGACCAGATCCAGACTTCCTGGCTCTGGCCCAGTTCACACTGTGGCTAGAACAAGATCGATGCTGAAAGCTCAGCAGTGCAGTATTGGGTCATTTCAGTATTTGTACCAATTGGTGCTGATGGCAGCAGTGTCAGGATGGGTGTAGGAGGCCCAGGTTTGAAGACATTTTTGCCCTCGGGTACAGTTCAGACGATCAGTTTCAACTGAGTGTTTCCCTCTACACTTCTTATAGCATTCCCTCTTGCCCTCCTTAGAGACCGTGATGTTGATTTTTAGATCATTGGAGAAGGAATTTTATAAAAATAAAGCACCCAGAATTTCACCCAGCTTCTCCTGCTTCTGCTCAAATGGCATACGCCAATACTCAGCTGATTATTGAGATCAAATGGGCCAAACATGCTGACTGGCACAGCTCCATTGAAGTGGGTGGCACTAGTTTACACCAGCAGAGACTATGGCCCATCTTTCAACAACATCGAGGATTCAAAGCAATCTGTCAAAAAATCAGCATGTTTCATGAAGAGTTGGCTGTGATAGATTTTCCTTCCTTATCCTGCTCTGATAATCACCTATGTACCTACTGTTACTTGTTTGCTGAGAGTTAAACTATATTTTAAAGCGCAGAGAGGGCTTCTTCCTTACCTATTTAGGGATTGTGCCCTGAGGACTCTGATCATTGATGCTGTATGATTCATTGATTATAAGTCTTTTAATTGATAAGAAATCTCTCATCTTAATTACTAGCAGCATTTGCATTTTGGCTCTCAGACCTGTTGTAAACGCCGGAAAGGGAAATACACCTCTACCCCGATATAACGCTGTCCTCGGGAGCCAAAAAATCTTACCATGTTATAGGTGAAACCGCATTATATCGAACTTGCTTTGATCCGCCAGAGCGCGCAGCCCCGCCCCCTTGGAGCGCTGCTTTACCGCATTATATCCAAATTTGTGTTATATCGGGTCGCGTTATATCGGGGTAGAGATGTAATACTCAGGGTTCTAGCCTGCAACAATGGTACTAACTTAGGCCAGGATCCTGCAAAGACTAGCTCACACTTAACTTTACTCACTGTGAATAGTCCCTTCGCGTTCAGTGTGTAAAGTTAAGCACTCGTGTAAATTGTTGTAGGAATCAAGAGCCCTCAAGAAATTGTAGGATGAGACTTATGCTAGTTTTATTCTTTGAACGTGATTGATTACGGCTGATATAATGGAGTTTTGACTAAAGCTCAGGACTGCGCATCAAGAGATGTGAATTATATTTCCAAGTCACTTCAACCATCTCTGCCTCGGTTTCTCCATCTGCAAAATGGCAGTGCAGATTCTTCCCAGGATCACAAAAGGGTGACAGGGGTAGTGAGGCTTAATTAATCTGAGATCCTTGGAGAGAGAGGTTGTATAAGGTTATAATAATAATAATAATAATAATTTTAGTACTTCCCACCTCTACAGCACTATTTTATGCTTTTAATGTTCTTTAAAAAAGAGGAAACATATAATAAAGTTACTTAAGTAGTCATAAAAATAGACTGTGGTGGAATAGTGAGTTGAAAGTTATTGGTCAGTGGCACTGTTATGAAGTTCATATCCAGTTGGGAATTTGTTTGCACTTTTGGACCTGGACTTCAATTTAATTTAATTTTTTATCTTTTCGATCTTTAAAAGGAAACCCTTATCTTTGGATACTGTAAAAGTGCTTGGTGTCTCTTGTGTTACTGGCAGAGCTTGGTTTGCAAAAGGACATTTGTTTGCCTAACATCTGCTGTACTGTTTTGGAGTAAGGGAAGAATTAGCATAGAGAGAGAGCTAAAGGAACTCTGCTTGTTCTCAAGTAGTTTTGACTCCAGTCATGAACCTCATTCTCAGGTCTGGGTGAGCTGTGCCAAGCTGAGTGCAGGACCGGAGGGTTGGGGGACGAAGGTGGCTTTATACCAGCTTTGTGACTCTGTTAAAGAGTAAGTCAGCTCCCAGTGTAAGTTAGAGAGACCCTAAGGTAGCTCTGACTTGCACCTGGCTACCAGAGAATGGGTGGGACATAGAGATGATAGAACCACATCCCCTTGAGCGGGGTGTGGTGCAGAGGGAATTCCCATCTGGAATATGTGCCAGGTTTTCCAGCCCCGTTGTGCCACAGAGCAGTGCATTGGTGATTGTTGTCTTAGATACCACTGTGTGGGCACTCTGTCAAGGGCTCACTGTTGAATGGCAACCACTGCATGAAGGAAAAGAATGTGCCGGCAGGTACTAAGGGGAAAGACAAACCGATAGGGATGTGGCATCGTTGCCCGCTGTAAAAAGCTGGGCAAAATCTCCTGGTTTTACTTTCCAAGGTGTTTGTGGTCAGAGTGATAATGAAATCACACAGGCCAAAATAACGAAAAGAAAAACGTGATTTTTTCACTTTCCCTTGAAATTAGCAAAAAAATCTGAATGTGAGAGTTTCACTTCCTGTTGCAAGCTTTTTGCAGAGCTGCAGGCATCAGCTGTGTTCAGAGCAGACTGGGAATGCAATGGAACGGATGACTTCCTAGAGGTACCTTTGAGAAAGTTACTCATTACCTTGAAGAAGTTGCCTCCCATCCCCTGGAAACTGCAACAGAAATCTTCTCTTAGGCTCTGCCCTTCTGTGATAGATAGAATAGATTTTCCATGTCAAAGGAAACCCCATTTTTCCTGGCTGACACCTTGTTACTTGCTTTTCATGTTCTATATTCTTTTCTGTTTGGATTTCAGAGAACTGCTAGTTCATAGCTTTGCTCTTTTTAGCCACCTGACAAGGCCCTGGACTCTGTGGTTCAATGATGTGCCATGGCAGATCTGTAACTGCTGTTGTGTGCCACTCGTAGAGAGAAACTGGAAATCTCTCTTTGCCCAGGGACCACATTTGAAATATTAAATGTATGGAAGGATCTGATCCCAAAGGCTTTCTATTGACTTCAGTGGGCTTTGGATCGGCCCTATGTGATAATTCATCTTATATTCATGACATTTATTCTGTCCTATCGCTCACTGTTATGTCTCTGTTAGAATGGTGCCTAACAAGTCCACTGAACAGGAATGAAATGAGGCACTTTTCAACTCCGTGTCCGAGCAAGGGAAACCACAGCTAGGAACTCCTTTCCCTTCTTTAAAGGAAGGTCATCCTCTGACTGTTCGAAGCATTTCAGGAGTACCTGGGAGGACACAAGCTGCTCATCCTAAAATGGAAGCAATTCAGAGCAGCTTCTGCCAAGACTGTATTTTGATCTTTGGCTTTCTCCTTGGCTGTCAGTCAATCTCTTTTTTTTGTCTTCCTTTGCCAGTAGCTATAGATCATGGTGAGACTGCAGTGCTGCTGTGAGTATTCAGTGCAGCCATTCCCAATTCCGTGGCTACTTTAAATGACTAAAGCAAATCACTTCCTTTCCATCCATCCCTTTGGTGGACGGCTTCTGTGATCGGACAGGCCACGTTCACATTCTGCTCAGAGAGGCCCCAACCCAGCTCGCTTTGAAGTCAATGGGAGACATTTTTGTTAACTTCAGTGGACATTGGATCCTCCCCTGATAGGCTGGATGTGTCAGTCCTTCTGTCTCAGCATTAAGTTACGCAGGTGGCATTATCCCATAACCAAAATACCATGCAGCCAGATGCTGAGATGCACCGCTCCAAAAAAAAAAAAAAAAAAAAAAAAAAGCACTTTCAGTGTCTTCCTAGCCGTTGTAGCCACCAAAATTAATGAATGTGTCAATTGCTTTTACGCACAAAAAATGCATGTCCTGGTTGTGCGCAGGACAGCTGGCAAAGCTGTGACCATGTAGCCTATCGCATGCTGTTCTTCTCAAACCAGCTGGCTTCTGCCTAGGCCTCAGACATGATCATCAGCACAGTAGCACCAATGGTAACAGATTGCAGGTGAATTAATGACAAGTACACAAGACAATTCTAGTTTTATATTTTGTGGGCTGAGCGTCCCTTCCCCCCACCCCCCGCCTGTAACATTTGTATTTTTTTGGATCGTTAATTCCTTTAGGAGATGCAAACCTTTAAACAGCCTTTTTTCAAGTGTTGCTCTTAACTAGACACCTGTGCTTCCCCTCCTGGGCTTTCAGCAAAAAGAAATCCTTTCTTTCAAGCAGATGTTTGCCTTTGAGAAAGCATCTTACCTATCTGAGCCACATCCAGTATTAAGTAACTCAGGATCAGGTGACAAGGGAAAGATTCATTTGATTAAGGATGCTAATCTAGATGACAGTCCGAAATAATAACCCTGAAGGCCAACTTCCCAGAGGAACATAGACGATTGCCTTCCTGTGCATATGCACAGAGCTATTGTTCCAGTCCTTCACTTCGTCCACTTCTGTGTTTTCTTAACAGGTGGGTGACAGGCCATTGGAGTTCTTGCTCTGCGACCTGCGAGAAAGGCATCCAGTACCGGGAAGTGACTTGTGTTTATCAGTTGCAGAATGGCACCTATGTTAACACCAGAGACCTCTACTGCCTGGGCCACAAACCCACACCAATACAAAGCTGTGAAGGCCAGGACTGCCTTTCTATCTGGGAGGCTTCAGAATGGTCAAAGGTAAGAATTTGGTTTGAGGGGGAAACCAGAGCTCTCTAAAATCTCCTGGGCTTGATCCTGAGGGTGCCGAGCGCTCTGGCCCTGATCCAGTAAAACACTTAAAGTTAAGTACTGGATAGAGGCAAGAGTGCCCAGTGCCTTGCAGGACCATGACCAGTCAGTATGATTACAAATGCAGAAGAGCTGTATGGTGCTGAGCAGTGTTTTCCATACCAGTGAATTACTGAGGTGGGTTCTATAAACCCAGCTGTATTATGTGTATCTTTTCAATCTGCAATCAAGACCACCGAGGAGAAGCATTTCAGTGACCTGTGATGAGGAGTTCAACCAGCACCGCAAGCCTTTTGGCTCAGATCAAGTGTATTTTGAAATTAATATCTGATAAGTGCTCTGTTCTATGTTGCAGGATGCCCTGGATCACTCCATCTTTGAGACTTTTCTGATTCTAGCTTGTATGATCCTTCTAGAGACATAGAAAAACTGGTGCATTTATAAAGAGTTTGTAAATGGTTAATAAATTATTAATAGATGTTACAAGCATGTTATAGACACGAGTAGTATGTGCTATAGGTGGTAATAAGCACCCTACTGACCTGTTGGAGTCTAACAATCTTGTAGAGCAGTATTTCCCAAACTTGGGACGCCGCTTGTGTAGGGAAAGCCCCTGGCGGGCCGGGCCAGTTTGTTTACCTGCCACGTCCGCAGGTCCGGCTGATCGCGGCTCCCACTGGCCACGGTTCGCCGCTTCGGGCCAATGGGGGCTACTGGAAGCGGCGGCCAGTACGTCCCTCGGCCCGCGCCACTTCCAGCAGCTCCCATTGGCCCGGAGCTGTGAACTGCGGCCGGTGGGAGCCGCTATCGGCCAGACCTGCGGACGGGGCAGGTAAACAAACCGGCCCAGCCCGCCAGGGGCTTTCCCTACACAAGTGGCGTCCCAAGTTTTGGAAACACTGTTGTAGAGCAATTACTTAGCCTTGTACTAAAATGTCTATTAATTATTTATCAGACATAGTATAAACTATTTATAAATGTGCCCTTATTATAAAGCGTGACCAAAAAATCTAATTAGGACATAAGGGAAATCCCATTTCTGTACTAGAAATATTGACCTCTTGTTTTACACATGAATTTATAGGAACTAGGCTGGGCCATATGTTATGAAGTAGTAAAAACCACCACTGATGCTGCAGCCTTTAAGTATAGACATAGGAAAGAACTGGCATGTCCAATAAAATCCCCAACTATCCCTTTGAATTCAATAGCAAAATAACAAGCTTTGCAACATTAGCAATGAATGAAGAACAGAACAATATTTTCATAATTAAAATAATCCTAAACAACTCCAGGGACCCTGGATCTGTACAGGGGTTGCTAGCCTGCACTGGAGTCCATGCTGCTATGGTTACCTGCGCTGGCTAGATTAAAAGGTAGTGCAGGGATGCCTACCTGCTCACACCTTCATTTGCTGTATAGATGTACCCTGAGAGATGGGTTTAGGATGTGATTATTTTTGAATTTGGGATATCAAAGAAAAGGTTTGAGAATCCCATATTGATTTCAGATATATCAGACAGTGGCATGGATAGCGTGGCTTCATATTGTGGCAGATCTCTTCTGATAGGTAGTTGGGGTTCGTGTCCAGATCAGTAGCAGGATATGGTCTAGCCCAGGGGGCCACGTTTTCAAATGGGCCTCAATCCAATTTCTGAAATTGCACCTGCAGTTTTGTGTGCACCTGTTTTTGAGAATTTAGTTTTCTGTCTGTATCCATGCACAAGAATTGCCATGTGTGTATGCGCATGCAGCATTTGCCTGGCACAGAGCAAACACCGAGTGACATGTGGCTGTTACGATGGCATTTGTTTATTGTATTAAGTGCTGACTGTGCCCTCTTTATTAAAGTCTGCTGTGATTGTTAGGTTGCTTTTAAATGGTATTTCAATCAATAAGTTTTCAGGAATGAGAACGGAGGAGAGACTGCTGGGTTAGTGGCTGCAGTGTGGCCACTCATCATTCACTGGCACAGACATCTACAAGAGATACAAGCTTATATTTTTCTGGAGTCAGTTGTTTGCCAGTATCCTTTAAACTAATCCCTGGCCTGCAAAGGGTGCATGGTAACTTGCTTCATATTCTAATTCTCTCCAATAAGATCCCCAGCCAAGCTGGCCAGGATATGTTTCTTGGCCATCGTTACCTCTCCCAACATAACTTCAATGTTAGTGTTGACATAATACCTGCTAGACTCATCTTAATGATAAAAAGTCCATTTCCCCTTCGGCGTTGCACTTGTGGTTTCACAGGCATAACTCCAGAATGGCTGTATTACAGGGCAGGGCCAGTCTGTGGGCAAGAGGATGCTTTTTATCTCTCCCTGTTTTGCACTGTTTACTTTTTTTTTTTAGTACAATATCAGATAACGTTGGGTAACTGGGAGTGTTTATACTCCTAGAACTTCAGGATCCCAGCTGTGTTGCAGGGACAGAGGGTGTTTTTTTAACAGGGACTAAGTGCTATTTAATTGTAGTCAGGAAATCTCCAGTACAAGAGGTAATATTCTAAAGTTCCAGGACAGTATATTATTTTACCATTCAGCAGGACACTACATACATTCGCTAGTGCTTGAAACCCTTTTTCTTCCAAATCTTTTCATCTTTTTCCTACTCCCAAATGGAGGAAGCAAAGTTCTGGGATTTTGGAATGTGTTATAGCTCTTTTATACATCATCATTCCAGATTATCCCTTCTTTTTATTTCTGATGGGACGCCTGTTTCTAGGTCTGCTGCATTGTAGAAATGCTTGTTTATGATGGTACTGTTGTCTGTCATTGTGGTTTCCTGAAACTCTCGCCTATTTCAGATGGGCAAAGCTCATTAACTGGTTGTGTGTGGTCTTTTGTCATCAATCCATTTCCCAGTTAGAACAGTGTTTGCATCTTGCTTTTGTTAAATGAGTGTAATTTGAGCTACATAAGGGATTCATCAGAGCAAAAGTCAACTAAACAGTTTCATGACAAATATGTATTTTTTAAATTATCTGAAAGTGAGAGATTTATTTTTCCTTTAATACTTTTCTCCAGAATTTTGGGATCTAGATTCATCATTGCCAACCAGTTGGTTTTTGAAGTTAGTTCTTTTTCAAGACATGTTTTTGCGATCATATGGTCCATTTTGACTCAGGAAAGACAATTTCACATTGTGTTAGTCTGAGCACATTTTATACCCATAAACCTTTCTTGGCTGGAAATCAATTAAATCCTTAACATTTGAAACTGAGGTGGTGGGAAAAAACACACTGTCACAATGGTGATATCATTTTATAAACCAATTTTCACATGAATTATTTTGTTTTTTGGCTACAAAGGAAAAAAATTGAATAAAGTGCAAGTTGAGGTCTGGTCTCCAATGAAAAAGTACGTTCTCAAAGCTAAATCCAAGACAATCTTCAGTGTGGAAAAAAAAATTAAGTTCCCTTTTTAATGCCAAATGCTTGGAATGACTTGGATAAAGTATTGCTCAACCCATTTTTAATGACCAAAAATAGAGAGTAGTTACAAAAAGTGAAAGTTTCTACTGTTCAGGAGTTGGGATAGAATCTGAAGAAAGATATGCTGATTTGCTTCTACCAAGAGGCCCGTAATGACGTATAATGCTCAGGGGTCAGGTAGGCCAAAGTGCAGTCCAGATAAGTGGTCAAAGTTCACACTTTGCCAGCTGATCCAATTCAGGGAGAAGACCCAGAGAGGCAGCTAGCGTGGTCTGGTAAGATAGTAAGTCAGGATCTGACGTGGCTGCAAGGCAGAGTCAAGCAGGGTCCAAATAGCAGCTAGCAGGCAAAGGCTTGTTGCTCAGATAAGGCCAGAAAGGAAGCCGGAAGTTTATATATGGCCACCAGCCAATCAGGGTCAAGACCATGTGGCCAATCAGGAAGCAGATCCTGGAACCCTGGAAGCTGGCCCATCCAAGTCTTTGAATTCCCTGGTAATTGACTGAGCTGGTGTGACGTGATGACCAAGGCTGCTTCCTGGGAACCCAGTCGGCTAGGGTTTGAGACCAGGGTCCTCACAACATTTGTCAATGGGATTGTCTCTTGGCTTTTGTCTCAATTCTTTATAAAACCTTTTGAGGTTTGGTCAGGTGGTTTGTTAATAAACTAAAGATGTATCAGGGCATCTGGTGTAATCTGGACGTTCATCAATTGCAAATGTTTTCTGTAGAATCTTTGTAAAACCCAGGTACTAAAAAAATGTTCTTAATGGTCAGAGCAGTTGAGCAGAGCAATGAAATTGTTAATGAAGCTGTTGATATGTCACCACTACAGGCACTCTGATCACAGACTGTTTTGTCACCTATAGGAAAGCAAACGTGGTGTAGATTTGCGAATGACATAAAGGCTCATGCAAATAAATGTTTGTTTTTCCAACATGTTTGTAAATCCCTGAGAGAGTTTTACGTGGTGGAAAATACTCCTACTTCAGCTTTACTCCGTTTTAGCAAATTGGATGATTCAAGGGGTTAAAAACAACATGATGAGACCAAGCACCCTTGAGGAGTTCATCCTGTCACCTTATGAAATCTTACACCGCAGTCAGGAACACTGCTTGATAGTTCAGGAAATTCTGCACCAAATGGAGCAATCCATTGCTTGTAGGTACAGCCTAAGAAATACAGCTTGAGATCTCAGGGAAGTTGATAAGAGCTTTAAGGAGTCTGCCATTGCAGCGTACAGAGTTCTCTCTGTAGCCTGAAGGAATTTGTCCTAGTAGCTTGTGGAATCCTATGATCGTGTTCATTATAAAGACATAACTTCCATAAGGAGGTCATGCAATGAACGGCACACAGTAAATTAAGTGGACAGCTTCTCAGATTTTAAAGAAGTCATTTTGTAGTTGCCGTGAAGTATTTAAAGGCATGTCTGTTAGCTTGCCAGCTCATAAACACTTGTCATTCATGTCCTTAACAAGGCCAGCAGGTCAAAACTGCCTGGATTGTATTTTTAAGGCAGACAGGCATGCTGAGATTTGTCCATTTGATGTAACGTATCAAGCTGATGCTTGTTTCCAGCATAGACCCCCTGAATGGAGAAGCCTCTTGGAATATACTCAAAAGACCTCACAGGGTATTTCATATCTCCACTATTTATTCAGTGTCAAGTCAACTGTCTTTTCCTCACTGATCCCTGAGGGGGAGAACTTGACGCTCAAGAGAGAGTTAGTTGTTATCTCAGTTGGTATGTATATCATTTTTCCACCCACCTGTCCCCAGCGGGCTTTCCGTGAAAACTGGCTTGTAACCACTGCACTGGCAGGAAAGTGGAACGTAGGAAGAACATACGTGCTGCTGTGCATTGGTACGATTTAGATGGGTTTGACAATGCCACCCGTTCCAATATCCCTTTGTTGGAAAAGTGATCATTTAAAGCAGTGTTTCTTAGTCTTGGGATTGTGACTTCATCCAGGGTGGGTCCCTGAGGGGGCTGTGAGGTCATGGCAAACTCTCTGACAAAACAAAACAAAAATTCCAACATTCCTTCGACTTGGGTAGCAAAATGATGCTCAAATATCCCTGCGTGCATAGCAGCCTGTGCAGAATCCACTTCCACAGAACTCAAGAACTTAAAATGGACGTTTGGTGCCCACTCACGTGCATGTAGATTACATTGTCCTGGTACTTGTAATCCTGTCTCCTCTAGTGGCTGCTCCCAGCAACTGTAACTGTCTGCTGCTTTCTCAGAGCTAAAGAATATACCCCTTATCACAAGTTGGAGAGGCCCGTGCTGTTAGTGCCGAAGAGCTCGTCTTTGAGCCCTGCTGATGACTCAGGTGTCTGTGTGTATGTATGTAGCCATAGTTTGCTGGATGTCATTTTGAACTGATCGCAAACTGGGGGATCAAGGAGGGTGAATGGAAATACATTGGCATATTACCCTTGGGTTATGTGTACTGTATGATTGCATGCATTGCCATAACCTATGATGGGAAGCATTACTAAACAAATAGAAAGAGTGTGAATGTGTTTGTCATTTGCTCTCAACATAATTATGAGAAAGCACACTGTACAGAATCAAAGATCCAGTGCAGGGTACGCATTATCTGCATTGCAGAAGACCTTGCTGCAGGATTTCGTGAGCTGGTATACCGCAAGACCTTGCAAATTCCACTGTGCAGCCAAGAGATTGAGTTGGTGCCACTGTGATTTTAGAATGCTTCATTGCATAGTCATGCAAAAGCAAAGGATGCAGAAGCTTCCCTGTTGTGTACTCTGGTATATTTGTCCTTTTTCAGTATTGATGATAATCTCTTAAAGGGGTTCAAAATTCCACACGTGCAACACTGACTCCTGTTTAGAACTGGTTGAATTTTTTCAAATAAAAGGTTTTTTTGTTTGCAAAATTGCCGTCTTTTGGTTGCACTTTCATGATAAAGAGATTGCACTACAGTACTTCTGTGAGGTGAATTGAAAAATACTATTTTTTGTTTATCATTTTACAGTGCAAATATTTGTAATAAAAAATAATAATATAAAGTGAGCAGTGTACATTTTGTATTCTGTGTTGTAAGTGAAATTAATATATTTGAAAATGTAGAAAAACATCCAAAAAAATTAATAAATTTCTGTTGGTATTCTATTGTTTAACAGTGCAATGAAAACTGCAATTGTGATTAATTTTTTTAATTGTGATTAATTTTTTTGAGTTAATCGTGTGACTTAACTGCGATTAATCACCAGCCCTAGTTAAAAATTCCACACCTGCAACAGTGACTCCTGTTTAGAACTGGTTGAAAATTTTCAAATAAAAGGTTTTTTTAGTTGCAAAATTGCTGTTTTTCGGAAACGTTTTTCCACAAAATATTGTCAGATTTCTTGCCTTTTTTAAAAAATATTTACTGGAAAAAAAAATTGAAAGTATCATTACATTTTTTTTGTTTGTTTCCCATGGGTTTTGGTAAATGAAAAATATTGATGGTATTTTAGATAATGTAAAAATTTGGTAGAGGGGAAATTATTAAAGTGGCTAAAAGAATTGAAAAAAATGAATCCTTCAAAATGACAAAACAGCTTTGAATAGTTAAAATTTTTCATGAAACGTGTTTTTCATTTGTCCCTCGACTCTGCTTCTGCAGCTGTGATGACACCCAGCCAAGATGGTAATTATTTGTAGTACCATAATGAGTAGGAGCCCTGGTCACAGATCGGGGTCCCATTCTGCTAGGTGCTGTCGTGCACAGGGCCGGCTCCAGGCACCAGTTTAACAAGCAGGTGCTTGGGGCGGCCAAGGGAGAGGGGCGGCACGTGCGGCAATTCAGGGGCGGCAGGTCTCTCACTCCCTCCGCTGATCGGCTTTTTTTTTTTTTTTTTTTTTT